GAGAGCCCTAACAGGGCATCAGAAACCAGTCTGTGCCTTCACTCCACAGAGAAGGCGTTGAGGTCAGAGGTGGGCTCCAGGTCACACAGCCTGGCTGTGACAGTTTCTGGTTGTGAACTCAGGGGTCCAGACCCCCAGTCACGGCCCCACACAGGCGTCTCTGAGGAGCTCTGCTCAGAATGCAGCAGTGCTAATGGCAGGGCCTCAGAGACACTCTGTGTGAGGGACTTTCAAGGTAACTCCTGCGGCGGCGGTACTGAGGGGCCGCTCGGGGGATGCCCGGCCTCCCTGCAGCCCCTGTGGGAAGGGCGCCGTGACCCAGATCGGCTTGGCTCAGGAGCAGCTGCATTTCTGGGAACACTCCTCTCTTCTCTGTGGGGCCCTGTCATGGGCGGTGGCGGCGGTGGGGGGTGTGTGTGTGTGTGTGCGCGTGTGTGTTGGAGTGCACACGTGGTTTTTTAGTCCCTGCAGCCTTCAGCCTGGAGATCTGAGGAGTGACGGAGAGGAAGAGACTGGCCGGACGTGCGGTGGGGAGAGGGTCACGGAGTGGGGGGGTGGGTCAGCTCCCCCAGGGCAATGGTGAGGGGCTGGGGCAGGGCGGACTCACAGTGCCTACCTCTGTCCTCTCTGAAGGCACAGGTCACACGGGTGCCTGGCGGAGGGGGTTTGGCCACCCTCTCTGCGCTCATTCCTCTCTCTAGGGTTGCCACCCCAACACCCCTGCTGCCGGCTGGGCAAGGGCACGTCCCATCTCCTCCGAGCTGTCCCTTCTACAGGTTGTCCCCTAGCCCCTGGAGGGCAGAGGGGGCTGGGGACATGTGAAGACCATCTTTTCCCCTAGCTAGTCCCCCACTGCCCTGCCTGACCCCCACCCCCAGCAGTGAGTGGGAAGTGGGGAGTGGTGACTTCCCGGGGTGGGGGGTCTCAGGGAAGCTGAGGATTCTGACAGGCTGGAGGAGCACTCGGCCAACAGGACTGGTCAGGAAGTCCCCTGGGATGATGGGAGCCGGTGGAAAGGGGTGGGAGAGAAAGAGATGAGGAGGGATGAGATAGTCAAGGGAAGAGAAACCAGAGGGAAGGAAAATGCTTACTACTTGTAACCGTAGTTACATGATCTGGGCACTTGGGAATCCTGGCTGGGGTACCTGCCCATTTTTCAACCATGGCTGGAACCTGTGAGTGGTGGGGTCTCTGCTACATGGACTACACTTGTGGATGGAGCGTGCGGTGAGTCATGCCCTGGTCTTCCCAGGAGCGGAGGAGATATGTAGGCATTCTGACCAGGGCCCCAGACAGGCCTCCTTCTCGGCTGGGAACTACACATTCCAGCCTAGGGTTGAGAGGGGACTGGGGCAGGGCAGACGCTCAGCTGGTACAGGCTGGCACGGCCACCTGATTGGTAAACAGCTGCTGTTCCAGCCCCTGAGTTCCCCGTATGCCTCTCTGGCCACCCCAGTCCCTTCCTCGGTCCTCTGGACCATCCAGAAGCTGAGGGATTTGCACTTGGTTCAGCACCTGCCCCCTGCTCCATGTAAGCTGTGTCTGGGCTGTCATGGGTGTTAACTACTTTGGCTGTAACCCTTAGCGGGGGCAGGGGAGCAGGGGGTGGGGGGGCTGGTGCCCCAAAGCTGGAGCTGACCAGGGCCAGGTCTTGGGACTCGGGGAAGCTGGAGCGGGCACAGCAGCCTGCAGTGTGCTGTACGTCACTTTTCCTGATGCTTCCAGCTGTGTTCTGGAAGAAGCTGAGTCTGAACAAGGGGGCTGACAGATGGGGACATGTGCAAAGAGCCATTTTTCCAGGGGACCCCAGTGGGGCATGGTTTACATGAGCAGCGCCCTCTAGAGGGCAGTACCTGGAACGAGGGAGTGCTCCTCCCCTCTCTGTGGGAATGGGGAGCCAGCAATGAGCCCTGGGCCCAGAAGCTGAGCTGCTCTAGATGCACAAGGCACCTAGGGCCAGCACCCTTCCCGGGCATTGCCTGGCTCTCCAAGAGGGCAGGAATCCCATGTACCCCAAAGGTGCCTGGCTCAGTGCTGGGTCCTGATTAAGTGTTCAAGTGGCCTGTGGAGAAGGCGGCTGGTAGGCTGCGCTGAGTCAAGACATGTGGATGACTTCAGATGGCCCTGGGCCTCTTTTGGGTCCTCTGGCCAGTGGAGGGATTTTCATATTCTTTAGCAGTGGAGCCTTTTTCAAAGGGAATCCCAAGTGAAATTCCAATCAACGGGGCAGATGAAACTGAGTGTGCTGTGTCTGCCCACTCCTACACCCGCCCCCAGCCCCCCACCCCCACCCTAGGCTTCCAGGAATCGGTCCCATGTCCTCCTGACACAGATACCCCTTGACTAATTGGCTGCTTCACTAATTATCTCGAGGATGTTAGGCCAGGCTGCTCCTGGAAGCTGAGGGGAAGTCTCCTCCACTCCCCATGGCCCGCCCTGTACTTATGGGTCTGGGAAGGCAGGCAGGATGGTGGGGCGACTCCTCTCAGGGGGCCAATCATTCACTGGCTTTATCTTTGTGAACCGTCCTGGGGGGCCTGGGTCATGGGCCAGACTTCTGGTCTAGGACCAGGGGGTTACTGGAGGAGGAGAGAAGGGACCCATTCTTGCTAAGAGGTGGGGGGCACTTGCTTCTTCTTCTTTTTTTCCCCCCTAGGATTTCCCTGAAGGAAACACCGTTACTGCCAACTCAGTGAGTACCTGGTGACACAGTTGCTCCGAAGAGGCTAAAGCAGGAACTAAGCCCTAGTCATCCTTGGCAGGCGTCGTGTGATTTCTTCCTTTTCTTTCTTTCTTTCTTTCTTTCCTTTCTTTGCCACCTCCCCCAATAGAAGGATGGGATAAATTCATTTCCCTCTTCCTTTCTGTTTGACTTCAGCCAGATGATAGTATGTTTGCATTCTCTGAGGGTTTGCTCACACCTGGCAGTAGGGACAGGGGAAAGGGAAGAGAAGTAACATTACACGAGACCTACTCTAGGCCGAGAGCTCTGCTCACATTCGCTGTCTCCGTACATCTCCCCATAACCCTGGAAGGTAAGCATGAGGACTCCCATTTTACAGATGAGGAAACTGCGGCTCAGACCGATGCAGTTGCTTGTCCTAAGTCTCATGGCTTGGACGTGGAGAATGAAGACTGAGCCCAGCCTCTCTGGCTTTTTCCACTGCATGTTACACGCGAGGAGGGTGTGGTTAGGGAGCCAGGGCCGGGGTGTTTCACAGCGAGGGTTCTCCGAGCTGGTGTGACGTTTCAAAAAGGACAGAGGTCTTGGCCTGCCAGGTAAGAGCAGCAGCAGTTCTCTATCTGCTGGGATTCGAGGGGTTTCTTGGAATCACATCTGCCCTCTACCACTCGGTGCTGTGCTCCAGATGTCATCATTCGTGCTAAATTTCTTGGAGTTAAGCCTTGCCCTCCCCAGGAAACCTTTAGAAACACACAGATCCCTGGAATATGTGACGTTTTGGTAATTTTTTTTTGTGGCTGCGCTGGGTCTTCATTGCTGCTTGCAGGCTTTTCTCTAGTTGCAGCGAATGGGGACCACTCTCTAGGTGCAGCGCCTGGACCGCCCTCTCATTGCAGCGGCTTCTCTTGTTGCAGAGCACAGGCGCTACAGCACAGGCTCAGTAGCTGTGGGGCATGGGCTTAGTTGCTCTGCAGCAGGTGGAATCTTCCTGGAGGGACTGAACCCAGGTCCCCTGCACCGACAGGCGGATTCTTAACCCCTGCACCACTGGGGAAGTCCAAGATATGACGTTTTATATCAGTGATCTCAGTTGGAGTGTTTGATGGAGCTGTTACAGAGCCTCAGGGAGAGGCTTTCACCTAGAAGAAGCCTGAGGTCCAGAAGAGGGGCCTGACTTGGTGGAGGTCACACAGCATGTGGCCTATTCGAGTTTTTTGTCCAGTGCTGTTTCCAGTCTCCACATGTCTGTGGCAGGCAGATGGGAAGGCTCTAGGCACCAGGTGGGGATAGGAAGGGGGGCAGAACTGGAGGAAAGGTCTTTGTGCTTTTGGGCTCCACCCCAGCTGAGTGACCCTGTGCTTCTCACAAGCTGGTGTCCTCTGCCCACCTCCCGTTGCCCCTGGGCAAACAACGGCAGTGCTCGATGTGCAGGCTGGACCTACCTCTAGTGTCTACTTATTTGGTTAAACACTGTGGCAGAGACATGCTGTCTCAGAGGGCTGGGGGAAACCAGTGTGGGGCTCACTTCCCCACCCCTCCAGGGAGGGGCTTTGGTTGGAAATGTTTCTGAAGAAGCCCTAATCCCCTGCTCTGCAAAGTCTCTGTCACCCAGGAGAGAGCTGGGAGAGCTGAGGGAGCTGGCAGCGTCCTCCAGATGTCACTTTCCTGCCTGCTTCCTATCCCCACTCCACTCAACTGGCTAGACTCCTGTTCTTCGGACAAGACTCTAGTGTCACCTCCTCCAGGAAGCCTTCCCCCACTCCCAGAGTGCCCCTTTGGAGAGTTTCTATTTTTGGTGTGCTCTGGTTCTCCTCCACACAGGAAGCCCCTTCTACATTGTTGTAGCCCCTAGGTTGGGACCAAAACAGGGCTCATGGGCTGAATTTAATATTTGAAAGTGAAAATGTTAGTTTGTTCAGTCTTTGAGATCACCAGGCTCTGTCCATAGGATTTTCTAAGCAAGATTACTGGAGTGGGTTGCCATGTCCTCCTCCAGGGGATCTTCCCAACCCAGGGATCGAACCCAGGTCTCCTTCATTGCAGGTAGATTCTTTACCATCTGGGTCACCAGGGAAGCCCCAATAATTCTTGTGGAATAAACGTTCTGAGCTTCTTCCTGCCCAAAGCCCTTTTTGATGCCCATTTTGGCCCTTCTGACCACCTTGCTTCAGCACCTTCCTAACTCTCTGTGCCTCTCTCAGGCTCTCTTTCCCATCCTATCTTCTTGGGTAGCTGTGGGCAGCTGTCGGTGTGCAGCAACTCCCCAAAGCAGGTGTTTTACTCTTGTTTTACAGATGAGGATCAGAGAGGTTGAGTAATGTGCCTGAGGAAAACAGCTAAAGAGTGGCAGTATCACTTGGCTGCATCTGGATCCAGAGTCCCTGCACTTTCCACTGCCCTACTTAGGTGGCCCTGTGTCTCCTATAATATTAGCACAGCCTGGTGCCCCCCAGGCTTTGGGAAGGTCCTGCAGATTGGAACCCAGCTCGGCTCCCAGGCACCCCCAGGTCAGGAGGGAGAATACAGCTTTAGAACCTTAGCTGTCACCTCTGCCACCACCTTCTTCCCAGCAGGGGGACTCCCTCCAAGACTGGGTGAGGGTGTGAAAAGGGGCAGCAGTGGGTAGGATGGGGGTCAGATGCCGAGGGGTAGCAAAGATTGGAGTATCAGGTAGTGAACATGCCTGGGACTTTTGGGGAGCAGCGATCCAGGGAGAGAGCCTGGTGTTTGGGGATTAGACTGAGGCCTGTGAAGGAGAGGCAGATGGGGCCTGGGTCTATGTGGGTAGACCCCAGAGTGTGACCCTACCCTGTCCCTTCTGCTCCCTCTCTATCTTTTAAAAATTTTATTTTTATTATTACTAGTTTTGGTTGTGCTGGGTCTCTGCTGTGGCACAGGGCCTCTTGGTTGCTGTGTGTGGGTTTACCCTAGTTAAGGCGAGAGGCTCTTCGTGGTGGTGCATGGGCTTCTCATTGCGGTGGTTTCTCTTGTCGTGAAGCACAGGATCTAGGGTGCAGGGGCTCAGTGGCTGGGGCACAGGGGTTTGGTTGCCCTGCAGCACGTGGGATCTTAGTTCCCAGAGCAGGGATCGAATCCGTGCCCCCTGCATCACAAGGCAGAGTCTTAACCACGGGACCCCCAGAGAAGTCCCAGCTGCCTCTGCTTCTTGCCTCCCCTTTTCCTCACTAGCTCCTCTTCTTGGGCTTTCTCTGCTCTAATCTTTTTTCCTAAGTAGCATCATTACCCCGAGTCAGACCTCCAGATCCAGATGAGAATATGACATTGGCACTGGGAAAAGAGGGCTTTCATCCTTGCTTTTATCATAAAGACAGAGAAAGAGAGAGGAGAGACAGACAAACAGGGAATTGAGGCAGAGGAATCCAGTTCTCTCTCCTTCAGTTCAACATATTCTGTTCCTGCCCTTGCATTGGATCAGCTCTGTGTCCTGCTAGGCGCCCGGGGCTTGGGGGTTGAAGCGAAGGAGAAACCTTTCTTCCATCACAGAGGAACCACACTGAGACATGTTTAGACAACAGCAAGGCTTAGAGACTCTCTCCCCCACCTCCCTTTGGAGGGGCTTCGGAGGGGCTCTACCTCTTCATCCCTGCAGGGAAGCGCCCCCATCCACACAGAGAGAGTGACCCTGAACCTCAGAGGTGTCAGGATCAGCAGGACAAAGTACAACCATTGTGCCCTTGGCCCGATCACTACTGCCTTTGTCTGGGGCTACTGCTGGCTCCTGGCCACCTTTCACACTCTTCTCCACCCACCCCTGCTTTTCTTTCCCTCTCCCCTGGAACACCTTCCCCTTCCTCTTTGGCTTCTTCTGAGCTGCTTCCCAGCCACAGGCCGAGGCTGTCCTGGCCACGAGGTGGGGTCCTCTGAGCGGGGCTGAGGCTGCCCCTGGAGAGGGTGGACTAGGAGGGCTCCCCACCCTCCTCCCTGCCATGTTTCTGGGTGACCTTGGGTCCCTCTGGGGCGACAGTCTGCCCTGATATTCTCGGAATTGAAGCGGCCTGCCGAGGGAGGATAAGTGGAATCAAGTTTGTTGGAGGGAGTTACGTCCATGGGAGGAGAAGAGGCGATGTGGTAGAGATGCGATGTGGTCTTGTGGTTGTTGACTTGTGTTCTTGTTCTGTGTGTTTCTGTCCCTGTTCTTGAAGATCCAGGTACATAGGACTCTCAGTTTGATGATAACCCATGGGGTTGACTCCATGGCAGTGTATTATTGTGAAAGCTGGTGACACCACACTGGGGGTGGTGTCAATCCCCCTCCCCCGAGTCACCTCCAGGCTGTGGCTCTGAAATGAAGGATGGAGACGGGAAACCCCTCTTCACCCCAGTGAAGGATGCTCAGAACCCTTCAGGCAAGGCTGCAGTTCTGCTGCCTCCTTCCTCTGGTTTCCTGGGCAGAGCCCACAGAGGTTGCTGTAACACACTTTGCTGAATGGGGAATGGTTGACTCAGGTAGGGGAGAGACCTGTGGCTATTAAATGACAACTGATGGCCCTCCCTCCTCGGAACCCCGCCATCTTCCTCCCAACTTCAGGGTCCTTTATTAAGCCCTCTTTAGGCCTCTCCAGGGACCAAGGGAAGCTGGGATGAGAAGGAATGCAGAGGAGGGGGCCAGGGTCATCCCTGGTGGTAAAGCTGGGAGCCACTGTCCTGGGCTCTGCTGGCCCCAGGTCAAGAATAAGGCAGGAGATCCTTGGTAAGGTGTCCGCACCTTTTGCTCTGGGGTTGCTAGACATGGACCAGGTTGGGCAAGGAGGAAGTTTAGTGACTTCGCTTCCATGACCCACGTGGCTTCTTGGAGCGTGGAGTTTTGGTGAGGAGGCCTGCCTGGGAGGGGTCTGAGCCAGCAAATAAACATTTGCTAACTGTAAAAAGACCTTGTCCCTGCTGCTGGGGAGCCTGCCAGGTGGTGGAGACGGGACTGGAGGCATGAATGATGGAGAGGGTAGGATGGGGTAGAGGCTGAGCCAGCCCCTCTGCCCATGAGGGCCTCAGGACACCACTCTGGGGAACTGTGGCACTAAGTGGGTAACCTAGCAGCCCCACCAAAGCACAGTACCATGTGCTGAGACCAGGGGCTGGTGAGTAACCTCCTTGTATCGTTTGGGTCAACTTGAGGGAAGTTGTGCGTTCTCGTCTCAGCCTAGTTCCCATTCTCAGCCCAGGCCTTCACAGAGGCTGCATCAGCCCCAGGCAGGCCCTGGCCAGATCTAGATGAATAATGAGACTGGTTAGTCCCTGTCTTCTCACAGGTATCACCCCCACGCAACCCCCTCCTCCCTGGGGGAGACTGGGAGCTGCTGGGTCCAAGCCCAACCAGGACTTTTTCCAGGCTGGTTCATATATGCAAGGGTGGGGTGGGGGGTCTTGGGGGGCACTTAGGGAAGACATGGGGAGTTGGGGAAGAGGCGGGCTTTGAAGAAACAGAGGGGACTTGGGGGAAAGGGAGGAGAGGCTGCTAGCTGCAAGAAGTAGACAGTGGATCCTGAAGGTCTGGGGGCTGCTGAGGAGAATGCCCCAGTTCTGTTCAGAAGATGAGCTGTGAGCCTGGACTGGGACTGATAGAAGCCTTGGCCTCCGGCCTGGTGGGGAGCTCTGGGCAGCAGGCCTGCAGACGTTCCTTAGTGCTGGTGAGTAGGTTTGAATCATCACTTAGGCCCTGGCCTCCATCCGCCCCCACCAGCCCCCTGGCCTCAGTTCCCTGGCAACATCTGGGGGAGGGGGGGTGGAGAAGCAGAAACAAGGGCCTCTGTCTGCCCAGCTGCCTCTCCCTTTGGGCTTTGCCAGACTCCACAGTGCATACGTGGGCTCCAACAGGTCCTCTTCTCTCTGGGCCACTGACTAACCCCAGAACCACACGGCTTCTTGTTCTCGGCCCCATAAACATGGTGCCAAATACTTCTCCCCAGGGAGCCTCCCTGAACACTTCCCAAAGGACCCCAGTCACCCTGGCCTGTTGGCTGCAGTTAACTCTGATGTCAGCGGGCCAGATGAGGCCTGGAGATGAGCACAGAGTCCAGATGGACACATCATGCCCTCTGTGCCCAGCACTGGGCTTTGTGCACGTGGGACCACTCGAGTCCCAGACGTGCCACTGTTTGAGAGGTCAGAAACGGGGGGCGGGGCGGAGGGGGTTTCAGGGGTAATCTCCCTCAACCCTCTTCTTGAGGCCTCTTGAACCTGAGATGGGGTGTGCATGCGATAGTCACTAGGGGGCGCTCAGCCACCACAGGGAAGCTGGGTGAACTTGGGATGCAGCGTCTGCGTGAGAGTGAGGACGCCTGTGACTGTGTGTGTTGGGGGGGCGGGTAGTTGAGAGTGTTTGGGGTGGGGGTGGAGAAGGCAGGGGTCACCCCAGGATTCCAACGGATCTGTGTGTCTCTCTTTCCACCCGTCCCTGTCCGACTACCGCAAACTCCTGCCCCCTCCAATATTCCCAGCATAGAGGAGGGAATAGCTCTAGAGCCCTGACCGCACATAACCTCACTTTTCCCGTACCCTCCCCGCAAATACCGCGCGGGCGTGTGTGTCTCCCGGCAAAGGGGGGCCGATAGGTAATGTTCAGGCTGTGCGCCTTGGTGGGGGTCGAGCATTCCCTTCGCTGGGGTGGGTGGGGGCCCGGGCTTCGGTCGGTGTCCCCAGGGGAAGGCAGTGGCCAGAGGCGCGGAGGGGACGGACCCAGGAGCTGAGGCTGGGCCTGGCCCCGCCCCCTGGGCGTGTCGGGGCGGGGCCAGGGCTTCTTTTTAGTCGGCTCGTAGCGGAGAGGAGCGCAGAGGCTTGGGGCAGCCGGGCTGCGACGAGGCCGCGGCGTTGGGGGGCGAGTGGAGCCGGCGGCAGCGGCGCTCGGTCGGCAGACGCATCGAAGAGGCGGACGGACCGGCGGGGCACCGGCCAGGGGTCTCCGCACTGGAATCTGATATTCATTTATCCAGGGTTTACCCTCCTCCTTTTTTCTGAAACATTTTTTTTAAACCGTATTCTTTCCCGTTTTAATTTATTTTTGCTTCCCATTCCCCGCTAAATCTGGCGGACCGTTGGGGAGATTGCTCTTTTACTCTACCCCAAAATCACTTCGGATTCTGGAAACGAGCAGAGAAGAAAGAGGGTAGCAAGAGCTCCAAAGAGAAGTGAAGGAAGAGAGACCGGGTCAGAGAGCGCGCACTGGCGAGCGAGACACGAGAGGGACAGGGGCAAAGTGAGTGACCTGTTTTTTGGGGGTGACCGCCAGAGCGCAGCGTGAGCCCTCCCCCTCAGGATCCCGCGTCGGACCAGCAGCGCTGACGGACAGACAGACAGACACCGCCCCCTGCCCCAGCGCCCACCTCCCCGGCCGGCGGCCGACGGTGGACGCGGCGGCGAGCCGCGGGCAGGAGCCGGAGCCCGCGCCCGGAGGCGGGGTGGAGGGGGTCGGGGCTCGCGACGTTGCCCTGAAACTTTTCGTCCAACTTCTGGGCTGTTCTCGTTCCGGAGGAGCCGTGGTCCGCGCCGGGGCAGCCGAGCCGAGCGGCACCGGGAGAAGTGCTCGCTCGGGCCGGGAGGAGCCGCAGTCGGAGGAGGGGGAGGAGGAAGAAGAGAAGGAAGAGGAGAAGGGGCCGCGGTGGCGACTCGGCTCTCGGAAGCCGGGCTCATGGACGGGTGAGGCGGCTGTGTGCACAGACAGTGCTCCAGCCGCGCGCGCGCCCCAGGCCCCGGCCCGGGCCTTGGCTCCGGGAGGAAGAGGAGCCCGCCTGGGCGCCGAGGAGAGCGGGCCGCCCCGCAGCCCGAGCCGGAGAGGGAGCGCGAGCCGCGCCGGCCCCGGCCGGGCCTCCGAAACCATGAACTTTCTGCTCTCTTGGGTGCATTGGAGCCTTGCCTTGCTGCTCTACCTTCACCATGCCAAGGTAAGGGCTGGGGACGTGCGTGCGAGCGCGCGCGTGGGGGACTCCGTGCCCCACGCGGGTCCTTGGGCACCGGGCGCGCGGCTTCCCCTCTATCTTCGTAGGTGTAGGGGGAGGGGGCGCGCGCTAGGTGGGAGGGCACCGGGATAGAGTCTCACCGCCCACGCGGGCCCTGCCCACCCACCAGAGTCACCGCACGTACGATCTGGGCCGACCAGCGGAGGGCGGGAGCCGGAGGAGGCGGCTGAGGGGGCTGGGCTTGCGCTGCCGCCGGCGGCTGAAGTTTGCTCCCGGCCGCTGGTCCCCGACGTACTGGAAGTCCGGGCAGCTGGGGCGGGAGCCGGAGCCCTGGCGGGCGGGGGTGGGGGTGCTCGGACCTTGGACCGGGGGAGGGCAGAGAGCGTGGAGGGGGCAGGGGGCAGGCGAGAGATGGGGCTTGCTGTCACTGCCGCTCGATCTCTGCGGCCCTCGCCTCGAGTTGGGGAAAAGTTTTGGGGTGGGTTGCTGCTTGGGACCCCCCTCCCTCTCCGCCGGGCCACCTGCGCCGCACCAACCCCCGCCCGTCCCAGCTCGCGTCCCGCTCGGTGCCCGCCCTCCCCCGCCCGGCCGGGCGCGCGCGGCGCGGAGCCGATTACATCAGCCCGGGCCTGGCCGGCCGCGTGTTCCCGGAGCCGCGGCGGCCCGAGCGGGGAACCCGGGGCGGCGAGCCGCGCCCCTCCCCCCGCCGGCCCTCCGCAGGAAGGTGACCTCTCGAGGTAGCCCCATGCCGAGGACCCGGAGAACCACCCCTGTTCCTTCCCGCTGTCCCTAGCCCTTAAACCCCTCCTAGGAGGCATTTCCTCACGCCCCTTCCCCGTTTCCCCCCCTGCTCGAATAGAAGCCCCCGCCACCCCTTTATTTTTAACTCCCCTCTGCTGAGAAGACCCACGTAAGCTCTCTCCAGCCCCAGATTCCGAGGAAAGAAGGATCACTGTCAGGAGTCGGGCTACCCGGGCCCAGCCCGGTGCTTTGTCGAGACTCTACCTAAAGTCCCGACACGGTGACAGTCTGCTTCCCTCCCCTCCCCCATGCTTCTGAGTGAGCTGTGCTTTAGCTTTTTGGGGGGCGACCGCAGGGAGGGTTTAAAGGGTGTCCTTATTCCACTTGGCACTTTTTGGGAAAATGGTTTGGAATTTGCTGTGACATGGTCAGTGTGGGACTAGCCCTCCCCGAACCTTTGGAGGGAGCTCCAGCCAGCCTTGCAAACACACTTTGTTCTGGTGAAATGGGCGTTGGAGTAGGAGCAGGTGGTTTTTGGGAACTCTAAACTTGCCCACCCAGCTTGCTTTTCCTAAACCACCTGAGGGGTCCTTTTCTGCTCAGAGCACTCTTGGAGAGAAGCAGAAGGAAGGAAACGGGCTGGGGTCCCTGCTGCCACCAGGAGCTCCTCAGACCCTGGCACAAAGGCCTTGGCTCCAGGCCTCCGAGGGGGGGGGGAGGAGGGGGAGGGGGAGGAGAGTCTGCCTGGCCACAGTGTGACCTTCAGAGGCCCCCAGAGAAGGGCACCTGGCCCCTCCCCTCCCAGAACTGCCCCTCCCAGTGCCCCCTAGCCTTGGAGAGGGTATGAAGTTTCTGACTCTTTTGCTCTTTGGGGCCCGGGAGTGGAAGGCATAGGGAGAATGTTGGCAGAGGGAAACAGGGGTGCCATGGAGATGGTAAGGGGGCTGAGGCAGAGGCCCCTGGGCATGAGGGTCCCTGAGGGAGCTGCAGTGGCAGGCTGTCCAGCTGGGATCCTGTGAACTGTTATCTGACCTTGGCCCTGGAGGCAAGGCTGGGGGTCTGGGGTGTATTACAGCGGGGTGTGGGGAGAGAGACAGGCAGTCAGACTCTCTCTCTGCAGAGTCTGCAGTTCTGTGCGCTAGAGTGCCTCTCTACTGCTCTGGATCTGCCCCAAAGAGGGGCAGGTGGGGTGGGCAGGTGGCCACGACTGGAGACTCTCTGGAAGGGCTGGGAGAAGCCTTAGCCTGCCGGGTGCTGTCAGGTCCACATGGTTGGGCTAGTTGACCTTCACAGCTTCTGGGGAGGGGAGGAATGATCTGGTGGGGGTGGGGAGCAACCAGAAGCCTCAGGTTTAGGGAGTGTAGGGGGCCCCCTAGGGGCTGGGCAGTGCTAAGACGTTAAAGGCTTCCCTGGTTGCCTTTGAGGAAGGTGCCCAGAAGGTGAGAGGGACTCGGGGACCCCCTCAGTCTGGGAGGGAGAAGAAGCCAGAGAATGAGATGGGAGTGTGAGCCTCGGGGGTTTGGAGATACATTCAGGTTCTGGGGAGACTGGTTCACAGGGAAAAATGGGGCCCTCCCCTCCCCCAGGGTTTCCTCCCAGGTTTTACTCTTTAGGCAACCTGTGGCTTTACTAAGTATTCCTGAGAACAGAAGCGTTTGGATGGGGGAGGGTGCTAGGTGCCCTTCGGTCCTCTGCACTACCCCCCCACCCCCCCAGCACCAGCTCACCCTGGTATTTGTCATGTCAGCAGGAGAAGGTCACCATGTTGTTTTTCTCACCCCCAGCCCTTCCTTCCTGCCCCAGTCCACATTTGTCCTCCTATTTGACCTTAATACTTGCCCATGGCTTTGGACCAGGGAGTCAGGGGGGCTGAGAGACTTCGCTTGTCCTAGCTCAGCAAGGGGCTGGTGAGAGTGGGAAAGGGGGATGTGGGGGAGGGGCGGGGACCCGAACAGCACTGCTTTCTGGTGGTTTCCTCCTGTGTTCTGAGCCCCGCTCTCCCCCAGTATCTGCTCAGTCATTACCTTCCCTGACTTCATAATTGGAACAGCTCGGAGACGGGCTGCTTTGTGCTGTAGGGAGCCCCTGGAGGTGCCCTGCTTGGTTCAGAAGCCCCGGAGAAGCCAGAGGCTGCAGGCCGGGAGGGGTTCCAGGAGGGGGCAGGGGTGGGCTGGCTGGGCCTGCGCATCCTTGCCCCTGCCCCTGCCCATTCTTCGCTCTTTGCTTTGTCCTCAGTGGTCCCAGGCTGCACCCATGGCAGAAGGAGGGCAGAAACCCCACGAAGGTAAGCGGCCCCCCCACCCCGGCTCCCACCCCTGCTGCACATGGATGGGGTTCCCTGATCCCCCAGGGGATGGGTGGGAAGGTCTGTTGGGGCGGGGTTGTGGGGGTAAAGGGGCAGAGGAAACTGGGGCCGGTGATCTAGAAAGGATCTAGAAAGGGGATCTAGAAAGGAAAAGGGTGAGTGCCGAGAGGTTAACCCTTCAGTTCCGGGGGACTCTGACCTACTCAGACTGCTGCTAGAAATAGAACTCATGATCTTTTTCTTCGGCTCTTTTATTTGAAGAGGGAGCCATGAGCACAGCCAGGAAGATAAATAGTATCCAAGGATCCCAGATGATAAGGGTGGTGTCCCTTGCTCCCCCCTGCTCCCAGGGGAGGATGAATAGTCCATGTCCCTTCCAACCCGGTCAGGTCCCACCTGTGGGGTCTGTGTGGTGGCGGCTGTGACCCTTGCCGTCTCGATTGCTGGCTGTGCATGAGCTGGAGGTGCAGAGGGTGCAGCCTCGTGGAACCCCCTCCCCGCCGGTGTGCATTCCTCTGGGGGTAGAGAGGGAAAGCCTGACAGCCTCCCCATGCCCTCCTGAGGAGCAGGTTTGGGTGCTTGTGAACTTCCCTCTGGGTCCAGCAGAGGGCTGGCTGTAGCTCCCAGGAGCCCCGCCCCTCTGCCCAGCCCGAGTCCGCCTGCCTTTTGTTCGCTGTGGTTTGGAGTACGGATCCTCCCATTTCTCCAGGGACGCCCTGGCTCTCCCCAGTACTGAACGTAGCCTCTACTCCTGTGCTCTGCCTCTGAGAAGGAAAGGCCCTGGGGGTCTTTCTCCAGGCGAGTTTCCCAGACCCAAATCAGGTGGCCCAGGTGGTGGCCAGGGCCAGTGTTTACACTCCCCAGGCTGTAGGTAATGTCTGGCTGGTTTTGCCTCCTTCCTCACCTGGGAGGGAGGGGGTCCTTTCCTGGACCCAGGACCTGGCTTCCCTGCTGTGCCGCTGACAGTCCCCCCTCCCAGAGTGCACCCAGCCCCCTCAGCTTCCAATGGTCTCTCTCTGTGGTCTGGGAGAGGCGAGACAAATGGTCTTTGTCTGCTGGGGAAAAAAGGTTGTCTTCAAGAAAGAAGGAAAGCCACGAGCCTGAAGTTGGAGTGTTTGTGTACCCACGCCTGAGAAAAAAGCAGGACAGCTTTCCTTGGAGACAGTGGCTGGGGTGTGATGGGTGCGATGAGGTTTTCCTCTCCACCTCCTGGGAGGCCTCAGGGATCCCAGGGAGCTTTTTCAAGAAACTCCCACCTTGGATCTTTTAATCCTCAGCTACCAACTCATGACCCAGGCCAGACCATTCTGCTGCTCTGTCCTTGTGGCCCCAAAGTCTTGGCCACCCTGTTCCCAAGCAGGGTGAAGTGTCAGGTCAAGAATTCTTGATTAGTCATCTTCTTCAATATAGACTTGGCTTAGAAAAGGACTTCTTCAGGTCCCTGCTCTGGTTTATACTCTTTTTGATGACACTTGATCCTAACCCTTTTGGCAGTGGAGAGTTCTGTGCCCATTGTCTGGATGGGGAAAGCAGAAACCTCAGACTAGTCTAGGAGCCTCTTTTGTTCCCTTTCCTGTTTTCACACTTGTAGCCTCCCCCTCTTCCCCTCAGGTCCTCACATTATCCTTAATCTACTATATACCCCCACCACCCCCAGGCTCATCTTCCTTCACACCTCTGGCTAGAGGAGTGAGGGGAGACTTAGCTATGGCCTCTGACAGGGAGGCAGCTGGGGGTATGCACTTCAGATGCCATGGTGGGGTTCCAACCTTGTGTCTCCTGGGCTGAGAAAAGGGCACTTGTTCTTGGGGCTGGAGTTGGAAGGCAAAACCCTCTACTTCAGCCTCTTGTTCTGGTGTCTTTAGCGATCAGCCCAACCCACTTACACAGATGTGCAGAGCCTCAGGCCCAAAGAGGGAGGAACTGGCCCAAGGTCACACCGAGTCCTGGCCAGGCCCAGGCTTCCTTGCTAGCTGGGTGCTGCTTCTTCCCTTCTGTATAGGGGACGTTCATTTCAGGGACAGGATTGCTCTGTGGTGGTGGTGATGGAGGGGTGATTGGGAGCAGCAGACCAGGCCGCAGTTTGAAGCAGCCATTTGGAGTCCTGACTTCATGTGTTCTCAAGGGCCCCGCCCCTGTGGCCCAGAATCACCCCTTCATGCTCCGGTGCACCCCAGGCTCCACGGCCAGCCTGGGAAGTTGTCTTTACCCTGGTCTCCCTCCAGATCAGCTTCAAGAAGCGCTCTGTGACTGCAGTGGCAGCACCGTTTTTTCCATGATGCAAGCAGTTTGCCCTCCTGGGTGGGGTTATCGGTGGCTGGCAGGGCCAGCGCAGTGTGCCCGCCCATGGCCACCTGCTGATTCCAGGCAGACCCAGCTCCTGGGCCAATGCCCACTGCCTCCTCAGCCCGTATCTGGGGAGGGGGTCTGGCAGGTGGCAGAGTGCCCCCCAAGGCTCCCCTTCTGTTTCAGAGGACATTGGCTTGGGGAGGCTTTGATGTCCAGAGCCAACTTTAACTGTGTGACTTAATGGCAGTGTGGCCTTGGAGCCAGTTACTCAGCCTCTCTAAGCCTCTAGTTCCCCATTTGTAAAGCCAGGGGGAGGGTGGGTCCTACCAGAAGTTTGCAGTACCATGGGGGGAGAATTGTCTGGGGTAACATCACGAACGCCGGTACACAGTGCCAGAGCACGGAAGAAGTGCTCTTTAAGTAGCTGTCGGGGGCTAATGGTGCAGTGGTTGCTGTGGGGAGGTGGAAGGGAAGTGGAGAGCAGGTTTGCCAAGCTGGCTGTTCTTCCTTTCACGGGAAGCTTAGAGACCCCCAGCATATTCAGACTGCCCTCTGGCCTCACAGTTGACCTAGGGATCGGCTTGACTGTCATGGTGTGAGCCAAGGGGACCAGATATGGCAGGTTGACTCCCTTGGGACCTGACAACACCATGTAATCTTTAGAATAAACACAGGTCTTCATCAGTGTTGGTGGTGGAAAGCTGGGGAAGGACTTCAGCCATGGCCCGAGACACTTAAGTTAGATGTTTGGAAGGCCTTTCTCATGGCGGTTACCTCTCACAGAAAGGAGAGGCCTTGCAGAGCTGGGTGGAGAGAAGGGCCAGCCATCTTTTCTGTGGCCTGCTGGACTCAGGTGTCACCCTCTTCCCATGCAGTGGTGAAGTTCATGGATGTCTACCAGCGCAGCTACTGCCGTCCCATCGAGACCCTGGTGGACATCTTCCAGGAGTACCCGGATGAGATTGAGTTCATCTTCAAGCCGTCCTGTGTGCCCCTGATGCGGTGTGGGGGCTGCTGTAACGATGAAAGTCTGGAGTGTGTGCCCACCGAGGAGTTCAACATCACCATGCAGGTGGGCACCAGCAAGGAGCCGGGGTGGGGGCGGCGGGGGGTGACCTCAGGCTTTGGCCCCAGGTGTTCCCGGCCCTTTCCTGGGCAGCTCTTAAAGGGAGGAGCTAGGCTTGCCTTGCCCAGCTCCTGCCGTGGAGTCAATCAAGGGGAGATGCGGGCGTCTGACCCTCTTTGGAGAAAAAGATGCTTGCGTTTCTGAGCCCAGGTTTCCAGCAATCCCTGATTACCTCCTCTTCCTTCCTGACCTCTGCCCCCTGGGCTCAGGAGGGGGCTGACACCTGTGACAGGAGCCCCTCCTCCCTTCCTCTCTTGAAGGAAGACAGCCCTACCTCCTTGGGGGCTCTGTTTGGGAAGCTGGATGAGTCTGGTCTGTGGGGAGTTTAAAAAGTCAGTCCTTTGGTGCTGCCTGGTAACGGGGCATGTCTCAGCCTGGATGGGGCTGGAGGGCACTCTGAGACCCCAGGGAGGAGTGGGTGGCTCTTGGGTGGCTACTGGGGGTAGGATGAGGCCTGGAGGGGATAACAGGAGGGGAGGGATTGGGAGAGGCAAGAACCCAGGACCTGAATTCCCAGCCTGGCCAACCCTGCAGACATGTCTGCCCTCAAGAGAAGCAGGGGCTCCTTGAGGTCAGCAGGGTGGGGGGAGTTGGGGTGGGCCTGAGGCTCTTTCATAGAGCCCTTGGTCCCCTCATACTTCCACCACTCTTTCCTGCTCTGTAGAACCCCTGGGTGCTGAGTGGCAAGAGCCATGGGGTTTCCCACCTGGGTATGGCTGGCTGGGTCACTAACCTCTGTGATCTGCTTCCTTTCCCTTCAGATTATGCGGATCAAACCTCACCAAGGCCAGCACATAGGAGAGATGAGCTTCCTACAGCATAACAAATGTGAATGCAGGTGAGGCTAGAATCTTGGAGTCATTCATTCAGTGAACAGCAGCAAGGGGCTTGCTCTGGGCCAGAGTTAAGCATGTTCCAAAGTGAAGCATGTTAGCCCATTTTCACCCTCCAGCTGTATAACTGTGGGCATTTCGGTTTTATTTTAATGTGCCTCAGTTTCCACATCTGTGTAATGGGCACAATAACAGTATTACGTACTGCCTAGCATTGTTATAAGGATTAAGTGAGTTGTTATATGTCAAGAGATTAAAACTGTACTGATGTATCATAAATACTATGTTACTATTATTGTTACTATCACCATCTGAACTCCTCTCTGTTTTATTCTTTTCTTTTTCTGTACCCACTGCAGACCAAAGAAAGATAAAGCAAGGCAAGAAAAGTAAGTGGCCACAATTTTCGCCCTTCTCCGTCTCCTTGACTGATTGTCTTGGTTTGGGGCTGTTGGCTTCCTCTCTCAGGGAGTTGGGGTCTGATGGGGGGGTCACCTGAGTCTGAGAGTTGGTTTCATGGGGACTCGTGGTGACAGCAGCGGGATGGAGCAAGTCCTAGGATGACAGCTCTAGAATGACTGACAAAACCCAGCCTGGTGCCTGGAGCTTCCTTTGGAAGAGATGATGCGTCTCCGGGCCATTCCTGGTCGGGATTTGCGGTCTTGGTGCGTGTGGGGCCAGCATGGACGCTGGCTCCCGGGCCTGCTCTAGCCTCCCATCACCCATGGCAGAGAGAGGGCGTGGGTGGCAGAGAGGCCAGCTTTTGTGTGTTAGAGGAAGTGGCCTCTTTCAGTGGCTGCAGTGGTGGTGCAGTTGGACTGGGGGGCCTGCTGGGGTGTTTTGTTGGTGCGTGCCCTCCTGTGGGAGTGAGACAGGCCAGAGCCGCTCAGCCCCCGTAGCCAGGGAGAAAGAGCTGAATGTTGGCCATCTTCTGAGGCTTCCAGTTGCTCAATGTGGAGGGCCAGGTCAGGATAGAGCAGTGGGGGAGAGGTCTGGGGGCCGTGAGCCTTTAGGACGGGGTGAGCAGCTGGCCCAGGAGAGAGCCTGCAGGGGAAGAGACTGAGAGAGAGTACCTCCCGCCCCCGCCCCCGCCATCCCCCCCCGCCCCCCCCACCGTCCCATCTGCCTCCAACGCTCTGGTGACACAAGCCCCCGAGGCCTCGACCCCTTGCCTCTTCCCTAAGCCCCCAGCTTCCAGTATTGCTGTGGCTCCAGAGCAGTGAGTGGGGAGAGCAGGCACAGAGAGAATGTGCGAGTGAGTGCAGACCCTCCTCCTTCCAGTATTTTCTCCCTCTCCTCCATCCCTTCCCCCCTCTCTTCTCTCCTGTGGTCCCCTGTGGCTGTCCTCCTGAGGGCTATTCTCGGTGGGGGTGTGTGGGGGTGTGGGCAGGTATTGAGAGTGCTGGTTCCCTTGAGGGGGACAGGCTTCAGCCTGCCCCCCCCACCTGCCCGTTCCCCAAATCCCTGCCTTGCCCACAGGGAGAGTGGGGGGCTCGCCTGGGCTCGGAAGAGAGTCTGGTGAAGTGGTGTAGCAGGCTTTGACAGGCTGGGGAGAGGACCTGCTGCCAAGTGCCACCCAGGCCCCTCCTCCCCACACCTCCCTAACTCCCACCCCACCCTGCTGCCTGCCTGGGGCTCCCAGGACACCCAGCCCCGCCTCTCGGCCCAGGTTATGGCTGGGCTAGCTGGCGCCTTTCATGTGCCGCCCTTGGTTTTGTGCCAGCTCCAAGATAGCTGCTCACCCACAACCGGGGTTCACGGAGTCAGGGCCCCTGGAGGGACCCCCTTGCCATTGTACTTGGACGTGAAGAAGGCAGAAGGTGCCTGGAGCACACCCCTGCACACGGCCCCCCCTTACCCCTCAGCCAGTTAGGTCTCTGACTTCCTCCCCAAATCCTGGCCTGCCTTTCAGAGGCCCTGACCTTCAGGGTCAGACCTGTTCAGGGCTGCCGGGCACAGAGCCGGCCCTGTACGCTTTGCCCCCCTGCCTGGGACCTGGAGACACCACGAGTGTGGAGGCCTGCAGGTCCAGGGTCCTCCACCCAGCCTCTGGTACCCCCTCACAGCCTTGCTAGGATGTGGCTAAAGTGGGTGAAGCCCCCCCACCCCTCCAAGGGTGGCTAAAGTGAGATGAGGGTGCCTAAAAAGTGCCCCCTCCTGTCCCCATCCCGCCTGTGTGCCCGTGTGCAAGCTCTCCTGCATGCCCCAGAGCGTGTCCTGCGTCCTGCACCCCTCACTGCTTCCTTTCCTCTCCCCTTCCCCCTCGCTTTCTCTCTGTCTGTCTCTGTTTTTTTATTTTCCAGAAAATCAGTTCGAGGAAAGGGCAAAGGGCAAAAAAGAAAGCGCAAGAAATCCCGGTATAAATCCTGGAGCGCGTACGTGGTGCCGCTGCCGTCTCATTCCCCCCGCCCCGCCCGGAGCCTCCCCGGCCCCCAGTCAAACTCCCATCTGCAGGACCCCAGAGCTCCCCCTCCTCCCCGTCCCCTCCCCGGCTCCCGGCCTCCCTCCTCCGGCGTCTCTCTCTCACTCTCACTCCACTAATCGGCACAGGGGTAGACGTGGTGGTGGCATTACCAGTCCAGGGGGGGAGGCGGGAGGGTGGGCAGAGTGGGCCTGCAGGATTCAGGGAGGGGGTCTCTGGCTTGGCTGGGGCACCGCCTTTTCCCTCACCCACTGGGCACTGGTGGTGGGCCCATGTTGGCACGGGTGCCCGGCACGGATGCCTGCTCACCCAACTGGTTTCCACCGGTCTAGGCTTCCGCACTTCTCTGGAAGCTGGGGGCAGTGTGGGGAGGGCAGATGTGGTATGAGGAAGGGGCAACAGATGACAGGAGGCAGCTTGTTGTTGGCTGAAGGAGGATGTGGGGGCAAACACCCCTGCAGCCCCTCCTCGCGGACTTGGGGCCTCCAGAGGGGAGCCCCGTATTCCAGCCCAACGCATGGCACTGCCAGAAGCCTTCCCCAAGAGTGGCCTCTTCCTCTGGGTTTGAGGCGGTGGGGAGCCCTCTGGCCACCAGTGGCCTGGCCTGTGGACCCTGCCTCTGGGCCTAGCCTGCTGTCACTCCCTGCCTCAGCCCTTTGGCGGAGGGGCCGGGGTGTGAGCCCTCACGCAGGGAGAAGTTGGCCCCGATTGGCATCCCTAGCAGGTTGGAGAGTCAAGGTGTGCTTCCTCAGGGGTGGCAGCCAGTGGGGCCCCGTGGCCTGAGACTTGCACTTGTGCCCGTGGGATAGCCCAGCCCGCTCCTCGCACTCTGCCCGGCCGCGTCCGCCGCTTCCTGCGGGCCGGCTTCTAGTTACTGCTGCCTCTTTCCGCCGCTCTCTCTTGTCTTCCGCTGGCATCAGAGCCTTCCAGGGTGTGGAAGGGTGTGGGGGCCCGCGAGCCGGGTGGGGGTGCAGCTGCGGACGTGGTAGGGGTGTTGCATGGATTTTTTTTCTCTCTCTCTGCTGACGCTCTAGCTTAGATGTCTTTCCTTTTGCCTTTTGCAGTCCCTGTGGGCCTTGCTCAGAGCGGAGAAAGCATTTGTTTGTACAAGATCCGCAGACGTGTAAATGTTCCTGCAAAAACACAGACTCGCGTTGCAAGGCGAGGCAGCTTGAGTTAAACGAACGTACTTGCAGGTTGGTTCCCAGAGGGCGAGCAAGTCAGAGAGGGGCTTTGCTTAGAGATGGGGAGAGAGAGAGAGAAAGAGAGAGAGAGAGAGAGAGAGAGAGAGAGAGAGAGTGAGCGAGCGCGCACTTGAGAGTTGCCAGCTGCTTGCTCTGCTTCTAGCTGTCTGCCTGGTGACTGCCGCCTTCTCTGCTCCTGGGGGGCCCCTGTGCTGGGTGGCAGGCGCTGGCCAGCCTGGCGGGGCCCGTTCAGAGCTTGCCCTGGTTGCCTGAGTGGGCAGGCCAGCGTGGCTTCCTGTGGCGGTGTGGACGCAAGTTGAGTGTTGTGTCCTGTGGTGCTGCTCCTGGTGGGCTGTTGGTCCTGATGTTGTGATGACTACCTTTGCTACTAATAGGGAGGGCCCGTCTGGGCATGGGGGGCATGCTGCCTCTACAAAGTGCAGACAGCTGGGGGGCTTCGGCACCGCTTCTGAGGTCCACACCGCTCGGTTTCTCATCCCCTCAGTGTCTCTCTGTGGGGACAGGGGTTGAGTGCATCCTCAGACTGGGGGCCTGGAGGGCATGGGCCCTGTCTGTTGGTTTAGGGCAGATAGGAGATTACTGTCAGGGCACAACTGATACTGTAATACTCCGGTCATCATGGCAGCAACCCAGAACAGCCCACCTGTTATTTCCACATGTCCTCAGGATGGGTGGCTGGAAGGAGCCACACCCATTCTCCTGATACTAGATTGTGAGTCCCTCACGCCTGGGTTTTATTCATCTGTGTGACCCCCGGGTGTCTGTACCTCTGTCCCTTGTACACACCGGGGGCCAGGGAAGTGTCAGGTGGGTGAGTGAGTACATGAGTGATTTTCAGGGGTAAGGACAGGAACAGGAGCCCATGACTGGTGGCGGGCAGTCTTTTGATACCTTTGATGGCGTTTCAATCATCTGGCCTGTGCTCAAAGGAAGGGAGCCCTCTGGGCCAGCGCAAGCTTCACCCTGGGATGAGAGGCTTTTATGGGGATTCCCAGGCAGAGCCAGGGCCAGGGCTGCCCCCTCAACCCCCCCAGCTAGTCCAGATGCCTCTTTAATTAACAAGGTCCTTCGAATGTGGCTGTCTCCCGCATCCTCCATGTTCCTGTGGCTTGTGAGTGTCGGGAGAGGCTGGGGACCAGGCTGCGGGGTTGTTGCTGTGGGTTCTGTCTGTCTTGGCAGTACGTGAAGACCGAAAGTATACACTCTGCTGGGGGGTGGGGGGCTCTGGCTCACCCCAGGGCTGGATGAGGGGGTCTCTGCATTTCCCAGGGGCCTCAAAGAAGATAAGAGACTTGCCATCCTGGGGTTACCATGGTGATGATTCTGTAGAGGTGGACTGGGGGATGTCTGCAGTGACCTGGGGACCAAGTGAAGTTACCCAAACCCCTCCTTTGATCTGGCTGTATGGGGGAATGTCTGTCCTTAGATTGGAAGCTTAGGTCCCCATTTCTAGGCTTTCAGAAGGGAGAGTCTGCTCTGGTCCTTCCTCACATGGGGAGGGTAAAAGGTGAGCCGCCCAGGGCCTGACGCATGATGGGAGAGCCCCAGGAGTCCCCTTTGCTTCCCCCACCCTAAGTTAAATAGCACATTGAAAAGGAAAGGCAGTGTGGTGCCCAGGGCCTGGCGCGGAGGCCTGGACAGTGGGCACAGACAGAGAGAGGAGGTGTGTCCCTCACCTTCCCGGGGGCCCCAAGCCCTGCCGGATCCCCGTCCCTCAGGAGCCTCCCTTCCCCAGCTGGCTGGCCTGCTTGGCCCCTGCACAGGCCCACCCTTTGCTCTCCCCCACGCTCCCCCAGACCAGCCCCATAGGGACCGCCCTGAAACATCTCCAGCAGGGACGCCGTGCTGATTAACTCGGTCCAACTTTGCTCACCCGTCAGCTCTTAAATGTCAAGCAGGGACCGTTCTCGGGGACGTGTTCATTTGTTGCTTGTGATGAGATGTCATCCTGTCTTTGTCCTGTCGCAGCTGGGCTGTAAAGTCCAGAGGGCAGCCTGGGAGCCCTGGGCTTAGCTCCTGCTCAGGCAGTGGTGGTGGTGGGGGGAGCCCTTGGGCAGGGGCTCCCGGAGGCTAGGACTGTGCTTTCTCTGTCTTCTCCACTGCCGCCTCGGGCTGCAGAAAGGAGGGGGCTGCAGCCTCTCCACCAGGGCCCCTCCCCTGGCCCTGACCCCCAGCCTTTGTCTCCCCTGTCCCCGCAGATGTGACAAGCCGAGGCGGTGAGCCGGGCTGGAGGAAGGAGCCTCCCTCAGGGTTTCGGGAACCAGACGTCTCACCAGGAAAGATTGACACAGAACGACCCATAGCCGCCGCCACCATACCACCACCACCACCACCATCGACAGAACAATCCTGAATCCAGAAACCTGACATGAAGGAAGAGGAGGCTGTGCGCAGAGCACTTTGGGTCCGGAGCGTGAGGCTCCGGCAGAAGCATTCATGGGCGGGTGACCCAGCACGGTTCCTCTTGGAATTGGATCGCCATTTTATTTCTCTTGCTGCTAAATCACCGAGCCCGGAAGATTAGAGAGTTTTATTTCTGGGATTCCTGTAGACACACCCACCCACATACATACATTTATATATATATATATATATTATATATATAAAAATAAATATATATATTTTATATATATATAAAATATATATATTCTTTTTTAAAAATTAACATTGCTAATGTTATTGGTGTCTTCACTGGATGTATTTGACTGCTGTGGACTTGAGTTGGGAGGAGAATGTCCCCGCCCAGATCCCGACAGGGAGGAGGACAGAAGGAGAGAGCCTGGCATCATCTTTTTGTCCCTCTTACGGCAGCCAGGGTCCCCTCCCCTGTCTGGGAATGCGAGGCCAGGGCACGGGGGCAAATTTGGCCTGCTTTTGGGAAGACCGACAAACCCAGCCCTGGCCCCGAGCCTCTCTCCCGAGTCAAACGGACAGAAAGACAGCTGACAGGTACAGGGGACGAGGACGCTGGCTCTGACCAGGAGTTTGGGGGAGACTCGGGACACTGCTGTGCTTTGGAGACCCCCTCCGCGCGCATCTTGCCCCCTCCCAGGGGCACTGCCTGGAAGACTCAGGAGCCTGGGCAGCCTTCACCTCCTCTCACCCGCTTCCGAGATGCCCAGGAGGCCACCGACATGTCTCAGCGAAGAGAAGAGACGTTGGTGGAGGAAGGGCCACCCCAGTGACAGCTGGTCCTCCGAGGGAAGGGCCTCTGCCTTGGCCCTCTCCCAGTCTCGCTCCCCGCGTGCAGCCCAGGAGGGCGCGATGTCCTCAGACCATTGAAACCACTAGTTCTGTCCCCTCCAGGAGACCTGGCTGTGTGTGTGTGAGTGGTTAACCCACCTCCGTCCCCCCATCCCACCCTACCCTACCCTACCCGACCCTTCCCGCGGCGTAGAGAGACAGGGCAGGATCCCCGTGCCCACCCTGGAGGCAGAGAAAAGAGAAGTGTTTTATATACGGTACTTATTTAATATCCCTTTTTAATTAGAAATTAAAACAGTTAATTTAATTAAAGAGTAGGGTTTTTTCAGTATTCTTGGTTAATATTTAATTTCAACTATTTATGAGATGTATTTCTTGCTCTCTCGCTCTCTCTTGTTTGTACTGGTCTTTGTGTATAAAACTCCTGTTTCCAATCTCTCTCTGATCGGTGACAGTCACTAGCTTGTCCTGAACAGATATTTAATTTTGCTAACACTCAACTCTGCCCTCCCCCTTCCCCTGGCTCCCCACCACACATTCCTTTGAAATAAGGTTTCAATATACATCTACATACTATATATATATTTGGCAACTTGTGTTTGTATATATATATATATATATATATATATGTTTATGTATATATGTGATTCTGATAAAATAGACATTGCTATTCTGTTTTTTATATGTAAAAACAAAACAAGAAAAAATAGAGAATTCTACATACTAAATCTCTCTCCTTTTTTAATTTTAATATTTGTTATCATTTATTTATTGGTGCTACTGTTTATCCGTAATAATTGTGGGGAAAAAGATATTAACATCACATCTTTGTCTCTAGTGCAGTTTTTCGAGATATTCCGTAGTACATATTTATTTTTAAACAACAACGAAGAAATACAGATATATCTTAAAGAAAAAAACATTTTGTATTAAAGAATTTAATTCTGATCTCAAAGCTCCTCCTGGTTTCTCCTTCTCCATTGAATCTTTGTTCCAGACTTTCTCCTGCACCCCCCTTCCCTCCTCCCATGGGGAACATGGCTTTTGCCTGAGGTCTGGGAAAGGGGTTCCAGGTGTATAGGCTATGGGGTGACCCACTTCATTGTGCTAGGGCCAGAGTCCTTCCATTCTGGCTGGGCCGGTCCTGGGGGAGCTCATCCTTTCTTTGCCATCTACGGAAACTGGGGAGAGAGAGACAGCTCCTTTGGAGCCAAGGTCCCTGCAGTGAGTAGGGCTGCCTTCGGGTACCGTGTGATCCAGGTGCTGGCCCGTGTCAGGGAAGAAACTAGCTATGTGTCTGGGCTTGCTTCCCACAGGACACTAAGGGTCTGGGTTTGGTGCCGGAGCCTTGGCTGCAACAGGCTGGGAGTAGGAAGTACTCATGTGGGGCCTGTAACCCCAGGGTGTAATTGAGTTTTACATGGTGGTTCTCCAGTTCCTTGAACCTCTGGAAGGTGGGCCCAAGTTCTGCTTGCCCCTAAGTGGACTCCCTGGCTTGCCTTGCTGCTCAGGGCTGTCTCGCATGCAGTCCTGGGGAAGGTGGAAGCTGTCTGGGACTTTGGCATTTATGAGCAATGCTTCCAAATCCACTTCTCTAGCTTCTTTTATTTATTGGGCCACCAGCCATGGTGCCAGAGCTTGGAATGCTGTTATGAATGAGACACAATTCCAACCCTCACACGTCTGGTGAGAGTGGGTGAAAACACAGAGAAGTACAAATTCACAAATAGAAGAATACATAATAAATGATGGGGTCTTTTTTTTTTTGGCCGTGTGGCAGGTGGGATCTTAGTTCCCTGACCAGACCAGGGATCAAACCTGTGCCGCCTGTAGTGGAAGCACGGAGTCCTAATCACTGGACCTCTAGCGAACATTTAGGGTTTGGGGGACATTTGATCCAGCTTGGAGTGGGGAAGGATTGAGGGTGGTGGAGTCTAGGGGGTCCGCTTATGACACTACCCTTAGGTAATGGTGGGTGGGAAGAAGATGACAGAACAGGGAGGGGAGGGCGGAAGGGTTGAAGCGGACATCGCAGGCGGATGTGGGGGTGTGAGCAAAGGCATGGAGTAGGAGCTCAGACAGGGAGTGGGTAAGGGGTCAAAGGTGAGAGAGAGAGGCGGGAATAGCCCCTCCCTGCAGTGCCCATGGTGCCAGGAGCCTAGTCCTGGGGATGAGCAGCAGTTGAGGGGTTTTAAAGAGGGAGCGTACCGGCAGGGAGGCCATAGGAGGCTGTTGTAATCCTCCCAGGGCAGAGGCCCTGAGAGGGGTAGAAGTGACTTCAGAGGCTGATCAGGGAGGGCATTCCCTGCCTCTTCTGGCCACGCTGGGGGCAGAGGGGGCGGGGGAACAGGAGGTGAGGTCCCTGCCCTCAGGCAGCTTTAGATCTAGTTAAGTGCTCATTTTCCAAGCACTTGCCACCAGCAGCTCTTCTGCTGGTTAACAATCCACACAACGGCCCTGTGAGGTCAGGCTCTTGTCATCCCAAGTGGATACTTGTCTGAGCCTCCACCTGGCCTCCCAGGTTCTTCTCTCACCTGCATTCTAGTTAGCCAGAGTGAGCCTGTTAAAATGTGAGCTGAATCCTATCACCTTTTGGCTCGAAACCCTGCAGACTCTGTTTTATTTGTAGAAAAAAGCCAAAGTCCATGCAATGGCCTTAAAAGGCCCTGCATCATCCATGTTGCCTCCATCTCCCTGACTCAATGACCTCCAACCCCACTTTGGCCACTGGGCTCCAGCCACACTGGTTTCTCTGTTCCCGGGACTGTGGGAGTGCTCCCACCTCAGGGCCTTTGCACATGCTGTCCCCTCTTCCTGGCCTTCTCTTCCCACAGACATGACATGTGGGGCTCTCTCACTTCTCAAGTTTTGTTACCTTCTCAGCAAGGCCATCTTAACCAGTGCATTTATAGTCAACATCCCTTCTTCCCTCTGCACTTGGGGTCCTTTTTTCATCATCTCTCTTTTTTTTCCCATGGCACAGGGCACTGCAGGGAGGGGCTACCTAACATACTCCAGAACAGGACTGTTCAACAAAACTATGATGTGAACTACATATGTAATTTAAAATGTTCTTTGAGCCAGATTTTAAAAGGTAAGAAGAAACGGGTGACATTTCATTTAATGATACATTTAACTCAACCCCCACATATCTAAAATATCATCCCAACATCGAATCAATGTAAGAAAGATTAACGAGAGATTTTACATTTTTCACTACTATGTCTTTGAATCTAATATGTATTTTGCTTTCATCAAACATCTCAGTTGGGTGTAGCTACATTTCAAGTACTCAGTATACACGTGAGGCTGTGACCATTTTGGAGAGTGTAGCTTTAAAATTTACCCTCCCCCTGTCTCTCCAACTACTAGAATGCAAGCAATGTGAGTACCAAGATTTTTATCTGTTTTGTTCGAAGTTGTATCTCCAGCTCCTAGAACGGGCCTGGGATGTAGAACATGCTCAATAAACATTTGTAATCTGACTGACATAGTTGACATTGAGGCTGGATGACGGAGGGTTTATTTCATCCCAGGACTGTTGATGGTAGGTGATGGCTGGCCCTGGCTGGGGTGGTGGGTAGAGGGGCTTGTTAACAGGTGGAGACTTGAGCAGAGCTGGGTGAGGGGATTAGAAGCCTTCTTCTCTGTGCCAGGCCCTGGCTCCTCCTTTTAGCTACCCTGGAGATGGGGCTCATTATTTTTTGTTGGCAGATGAGGCTCAGAGAGACTAAATAACTTGCCTGAATTGACACCCAGCCAGTAAATGGCCAAGCCAGAATTTAAACCAGCTTTCCTGACTCCAATTCCAGTGCTCTTCCCGCCTCACCACAGCTGCCCCAGGCTAGGGCAGAGCATCCACAAATAAAAACGAATTGTCTAGACCGAATACAAACAGGCACAAGAAAAGTGGGACAGGGGGAGGATGTGGTGGTGGCCAACCCCACGGCTGAAAGCCAAATTTCCCCAAGTGTGGTAAGGCAAGGCAAGAGATTTCTCTAGGGGCTGGACCTCATCAGTAGAAGATCCGAAACCTAAGCATGAAAGGGATTGCAACACGCTGCCTCGGAAAAGAGAAACAGTCTTTAAATAGACTTGGAAGGAAAGAAGGATAAAATGTACACACTGCATCCCCCAGTTGTAGCAGACCTGCTCATGCACCCCCAGCAGCCTTCCCCAAGGACCTTCCAAGGCCCAGCACCGAGCTGTCCCAGCTTTTCTCCTCACTGTGGGACTTACACTCTCCCTTCTGGTCTGGTACTCTCTCCCCAGAGACCCAGAGCTCCTTCTCATCTCTGCTCTGCCCACCCTGAGCCCTTTGCCCTTTTTCCCTAAGGGGCAACCTACCCAACTCACAGCCCCAAAGGCCCCAGGAACACTTGCTTTTCTCAGGAACCTGCCAGCCTACTCTCTTCCCTCCTGCAAGGAAGCTGGATAGATCCACACAGAACTTGGTGATTCTGGATTGGTTTCATGTGTTAGGACCTCTGTGGTGGCCTGGATCCAAATATGGCTGCCAGCAGCTCTTCCCACTCCTAGGCCTGCATGCTGCAAGAAGAAGCATCTACTTCTCCTCTGTTGTACCTGGGGCTGGCTGTGACCAAGAGGATGTGGCAGAATAGATGTTCTGGACTTTTACTCCTCAGCTTAAAGGGGCACTGCAGTTTCTATCCCTCCCCCTGCCTTAGAAGGCAGCTGCCATGCTGTAAGGAAGTTCAACTACCCCGCTGGAGAGAGGGGCAACGCAGAGAGAAAGAGAGGGACTCAGGCAGCCCCCAGCTGTTCCAACCACCCTAAGCTGAAGCCCCAGACAAGTGAGAGAGGTCATTTTGGATTCTCTAGCCCCAGGTGAGCCACTTTTGCAATGACACATAAAGGAGAGAAGCCATCTTCTTCCCAAATGTACAAAGTTGTGAGTAAATACATAGCTATTGTTTCAAACTGTGATGTGTTGGTGTAGTTGTTACCCACTGATCATATCTGAACTACCTAAAGGATCATTTCTTTGGATCTAGGACTTTTTTTCCTTCCCATCCATGAAGATTTAGTATATGCATGATGGATAGAAGGAGGTCAAGGAAGGAAGGATATTTATTTATTTAAAATATTTATTTGGCTGCGTTGGGTCTTTCTGTGTCAGGCAGGATCTTTTAGTTTCACGTGAACTCTCCAGTTGCGGTGTGCCGGCTTTAGTAGTTGTGGCTCATGGGTCTGGAACACGCAGGCTCAGTAGTTGCTCTACAACATGTGGGATCTTAGTTCCCCAACCAGGGATCGAATCCACATCTTCTGCTTTGCAAGGTGGATTCTTAACCACTGGACCACCAGGGAAGTCCTAGGAAGGATATTTATAAACGAATCAGAGTCCGGCAGCAGTCTGCCCTGGTGGGAAGACTCAGGGCAAGGGCTGACTCAGGAAGGGCAAAGTATTGTCCAGATCTCTAGAATGAGGAGAGTGACTCAGTTTTACTGAAGTCTCACTAAGAGAAAGTGGGCCTCACTTACAGCATGAGGGAGACAGGCTAGAGGCTGAGAAGAACTGGCAGAGAGAGAAGTGCAAGAGATTTGGGGGAAAAGGCTATGGAGTCTTCTCTTTCCTTTCTTTCCTTTTATCCATATGGACTAGCAACCATATATTTTATGCCCTGTTGCAGAATGGACTCTCACTTACCAGGACCATCTTTAGTGTGTACCAGCCTAAAGATAGGGCCAGATGAAATGACCTTTGGGGGTCTCCATCACATTGGCCTCAGGGTTCTTGGGAGGAAGATAATTCAGCTACATGCACAGGACATTATCCATCAGGACATGGGGAACAGGGGGAGGGCAAGGAAGGAATCAGTAAATATGTATAATCTGCTTGGAAAGGGAAAATGCAAGGCAAAGATAGGGCTTTGCTGAGCATCTGCAGAGGAAGGGATGGGAGTCATTCAGAAGGGGGATGGGCTAGAACCAAGGGGAGCAGGGAGTCAAAGGAAAAGGCCCCACTGGGCATAGGTGCCTGTGGGAGGAATACTACGCCTGGTCTATTCAGGATCATGAGATCTGAAACAGGTTTTAAAAAGTTGCGTTTGCCTTTTGGTGATCAGTCTGTTAGTAAAGAAAGTATAAGTACTCCCCAGGGAGCTCCCAGTCTGAGGCGGGGCGGGGGGAGGGGGGCGATGACATGGTCCTTGCCTTCAGGTTGCTCCCTGCCCTCCTAGAGTTTCTAGTCTCAGGAAGAAGACAAAACCCCTGCTGTCAGACATTTATTTATTTAATTTTTAAAATCATTTATTTATTTATTTTTGACTGTGCTGGGTCTTCGTTGATGGGGGCAGGTTTTCTCTGCTTGCAGCAAGCTGGGGCAATTCTCTAGTTGCGATGCACGGACTTCTCACTGCAGTGGCTCCTCTTGTTGCGGAGCACAGGCTCTAGAGTGAGCGAGCGTAAGCAGTTGTGGCATGCGGGCTTTGTTGCCCCCATGGATGTGGAATCTTCCCGGACTAGGGACTGAATCCGTGTCCCCCACACTGGCCGGCTGATTCTCAACCGCTGGACCACCAGGGAAGTCCGGACATTTCTTTATTGATAAAGATGGAAAGCATTCTTAGGAAGGCACGCCCCCCCACCTTCATTTGGCTGCTCTAGATATTCGGAATCATGGGATATTGGTGCCTGAGGAGCCCTTTCAGGGCCTGCAAACTTCTCCGCCTCCCAGCACATGTGTACAGTCCCCACAGGACTTCTCTCTGTACCATTTTCAAGCCAACAATGGCTGGGCCCTGATGTTTCCCCACACATCTCCTGATGCTCTCTAGGTCTGGCTCCAAGTCGGGCAGATGCCAACATATACCTCCCTCCTGGGGCCCTGCCTGACCCCTCTGAAAACCCCATTTTGTTACCTCCTAGGACTCCATGTAGGGAGACTGTGTCCCCACTTTCCACCCCATTTGCAGCTGACGCAGTCATCCTGAGGCCGGAAGTCCTCCGGAGGTGCAATGATGGCCTTTGAGGCCAGCCCGAAGCGACCTCTCCTCACATGCCCTGCCTGCTGCCTCTGTAGAGCCCGATCCAGGCTGCCTGAAGCCCTGCCAGGACTTCTGACAGACCTAGATGGGAATCCTGGCTTGGTCACTGGCTGAATTAACTCCCTGGGCCTCAACTTTCTCATCTCCAAAATGGGAACAATCATGCCTGCACGTAACTTGAGGGGAAGAAGTGATGTTGACGTGCAAAAATACCCAAACAGCGCCCGGTATGTAGGGCGTGCTCACAATGGTCTTTATAATTATGCTGTTGTTTCTAGTCCCCACGTCAACGCCTTTTTCTTCTCCTACTTTAATATAATTTGGTTGTTTTTTCCCGCCTCGTTTTTTAATTTTTAAACCGAAATACCATGGCTGGGTTTTATACCCATCTTTGCAAGTGTTCATCCCTTCTCCCCTGCTGAGGAGTGAGGCAAGCCAGGCCCACAGCAGTGTACATCTCAGAAGCCCTCCCAGGAGGACTCCAGGATCTTTGGGGGAAAGGTGTGTGGTACCAGTAGGGGTGGGGCTCAGTATAGGGGGGAGAAGTATGCTTTCCTGGGGAGTTGGCAAGCTAGGAGCTGGCGTCTCCTGGGGCAGCAGCAGGAAGATGACTTCTGGGGAAATAATTCAGAGAGGGTGTTGGCATACCTATTTGCTTTTGCCTTCTAGAAGAATCTCCACCTCCCCACCCTACCCCAGGTCTCTCTGCTTCATTCCCCAGGGTTTCCTTCCCAGCTGCTCCATCCTTGCTCTTCTCTGTCCAGCTGGAGAAAGAGACAGGTTGGCTGGGACTGGATTCGGGGCCTGCTGGGCCCTGCGGCTGGGAAATGTGGTGCAGGTGGCCCCTGGCAGTTGCTGCATCCTCTTACCCGGAGCAAGATGCCGGGTCACAGGTCTCCTTCTGCACAGCTCACACACTCACAAGTGTGACAGGGGTCACCACTCCCAGTCACAGGGCGATGGCCTGGTTGGGTAAGGGTTCCCAGGGCGGGGGCTGTGGGGCCCAGCTGAGGGATCTGGCTCCTCAGGACGATCTCCCGTGGGGCTGGGGGGCGGGGGGCTGACCTGGCTGGAGTCCCATGACCCTGCACTCCCCGCTGGGAGCTGCTGACTGTTCAGCAATAATAAACACCTCGCAGCTATTAA